CCGGGGGCCAGGGGCCCAGTTTGAGCAGGAAGATTTTCACTGTCAAAAAACAGGGTGCGAGCGTCGAGGGGCAAACTTTGATTGAGAAGAAACAGCATGCACCAGTGGGGGGATCAACAGTAATTATTCTTCAGAAATGAGAATTCAACAACAACAACAACAACAACAACAACAACAACAACAACAACAACAACAACAACAACAACAACAACAACAACAACAATTACTAGCACGTGGGGACACTCCGTTCTCACCAGTGCCAGGGTTTTCATACGACGCCCGCCAATACCCCCACTTTGTGGGGGGGCCGGTTCAAGCTCTACCACATTTCCAAACGACTCTTCGCCACCACCCACACCCAGCTTCCCGCCCTATGACGTTCGGACACTTCACTTCGTGGCCTGCGGACGACCGTGGCTACTACACTGGCGCATGGGTACAGTGACTTGTTGTGGTAACATTTTCTGGACGCTAGCTTAGTATACGACTTTTCCCCCTGTTCCAACACTGGACACCTGTACTGGTTTTTGGTGGCAACGTGTTCCTGACGCTAACGGGATTATTTGACAGGGATGATGGCCCTGGCAGGTGCGCAACCGTTGTTGGAGAAGTTCGAAGCACGTGAAAAAGTTGCTCGCAAAAGCCCGTTTGACAGAAATGTTTAAAAAGTGTTGGGTTTCCTACAAATCCGCAAGAGCGCGCGGGATGAAATTTTGACACTTTTTTTTGAAAAAAAAAAAAAAAAAAAAAAAAAAAAAAAAAAAACATTGGTTGTTTGATGTTTTTATGTTAAAATCGCTACGAGCACTAAGGTTTTGGAAGGATTTCGTCTTGCGCGCGCGAATGTCCATTTTACCTCATTTTTTGAAAGGGATTCTTGAAGTTTGGTTATGTTAGAACAAGAAATGTCCACTTTGCCTTATTTTTTGCAAGGGAAAACCGCCCGTAACAAAACAACCGGATCCGGACCAACCCGTTTTGCCAGAGACTTCCTCGCGAAAATAATGAAAACATGGCTGCGGCCTAGGCGCGGCGAGGGGGCCGCGCACCAGGGGCCCCAACAATAATTATTCTTTAGAAGTAATAATGTTCAACAACAACAACAACAGCAGCAACAACAACAACCACAACAACAAGAACAACAACAACAACAACAACAACAACAACAACAACAACAACAACAACAACAACAACAACAACAATTACTAGCACGTGGGGACACACCGTTCTCACCAGTGCCAGGGTTTTCATAGGAGGCGGGCAATACCCCCACTTTGTGGGGGGGCCGGTTCAAGCTCTACCAAATTTCCAAACGACTCTTCGCCACCACCCACACCCAGCTTCCCGCCCTATGACGTTCGGACACTTCACTTCGTGGCATGCGGACGACCGTGGCTACTATTCAGGGCCCCGCGGCCGACGACGACGGCGTGCGCGCGCGAAGAAAAAACGAATGTGTCCCGCATGGTATTATTTGACAGGGATGATGGCCCTGGCAGGTGCGCAACCGTTGTTGCAGAAGTTCGAAAAAGTTGCTCGCAAAAGCCCGTTTGACAGAAATGATTAAAAAGTGTTGGGTTTCCTACGAATCCGCAAGAGCGCGCGGGATGAAATTTTGACATTTTTTTTTTTGAAAAACCATTGGTTGTTTGATGTTTTAATGTTAAAATCGCTACAAAAACTAAGGTTTTGGAAGGATGTCGTTTTGCGCGCGCGAATGTCCACTTTACCTTATTTGTTGCAAGGGATTCTTGAAGTTTGGTTATGTTAGATCAAGAAATGTCAACTTTAGCTTATTTTTTGCAAGGGAAAACCTTTCGTAACAACACAACCGGATCCGGACTCCCCCGTTTTGCCTGAGACTTCCTCACGAAAATGATGAAAATGAGGCTGCGGCCTAGGCGCGGCGGGGGGGTCGTGCACCAGGGGCCCCAACAATAATTATTCTTTAGAAGTAATAATGTTCAACAACAACAACAACAACAACAACAACAACAACAACAACAACAACAGCAGCAGCAGCAGCAGCAATAATTGTAAGACTGTTCGCTCCTATCTGCTCACGTGCCAGTCAATGTCAATACGTATATCCCAAACCCTGGGGACCCGCGCTCGTCGTCTTCGATCGTACCTCCTTGGGGGTATATCTTCCTTACCTGCCACGTGCATTTAGCGCAGCCCCCCAAAACAAGGGAAGAGAAGACGGGTGGAAGGGGGAGGGAGAAGAACGGAGCACGAGAGAAATTAGCAGGAGGGGGGCAAGGAGCAGAAAACAAGTGGCAGAACCAGACGGGCAGATCGCGTGGGCAGACCCATAGCGGGAAGATCGGAAGGCGGGCCCAGGCCACCAGGTCGAGCAGGCGGGTTGCTGAAGCGTGAGTCCTGCATGAATCGAATCGTGAGGAAGCCTCGAGCGATAGCGCGATTCCAAGTGAATCGTGAGAAACGCCAAAGCGAGAGCGTGACTCCTGAGCGCCGAGGGCGCACCGTCTGAATAAACTGCGAGGAAGAGACACGCGAGAGCGTGATTCGTATACTACAAATTGTGAGGAAGTCCCGCGCGAGAGCGCGACTTAGTAATAAATTGTGAGGAAGTATCAGGCGGGAGCCGTTGTTGTTGTAAACCCGGGGCCAGGGGCACAGTTTGAGTCTAGTGGCTTTCCCTGATAAAGAAAGAAGTGCGAGCCCGGGGGAAGCACTTCAATTGAAACATGCAATGGTCACGGGAAGAGGGGGATCAACCATAATTCTTCTTCAGTAGTGAAAGTTCGACAACAATCATGTTGAGACTGCTCGCTCTTATCTGCTCGCGTGCTATTCAACACGTATATCCCGAACCCTCGATACCGACCCTATTCGTCCTCGACCGTACCCCCTTGGGGGTAGATCTTCTCACCTGCAACGTGTATTTCGCGCAGCCCCTGAGGTACAGTCGGGGCGTTGACCTAAGGAACCCTTAATAAAGAACGAGGCCCCTTTTTTCCATGAGTTAACCTTCGATCTCCTGTCGACGACATGAGGAAAGCCTGAGGCAAGCTGTGAAGCACGTAAGGACCGCGGAGCCCCTCCCCAGCGAGAAGGGTTCCTTCTTCAGGGCCCCGACTGTGGGGGAAGAGGGGGCGGACGGAAGGAAGGACAAGAGAGGGAGGGAGGGAGGATGGAGCACGGGCCAAGAACAGAGAGCACGTGGCAGAACCAGACGGGCAGAGCGGGCGGGTAGACCCCACCAGGCGGGTCGGGGAGGAGACCCCCAGGCGGCGAGGTCGAGCAGGCGGGTTGCTCAAGCGCGCGTCCTGCGTGAGTCGCGGGGAAGTCTCGAGCGACGGCTCGGTTCCCAAATCAATCGTGAAGAAATCCACAGCGAGAGCGTGACTCCTGAACGTCGAGGGCGCGGCGTCTGAATGGATTACGAGGCAGTCCCACGCGAGAGCGCGATTCCTGAATAAATTGTGAGCAAGCCCCTCGCGAGAGCGCGATTTGGGAATCAGTAGTGAGGGAGTATCAGGCGGGAGCCCTTGATGTTGTAGTTCGGGGGCCAACAACGCAAGTTGAGCCGAGCGACTTTCCCTGATAAAAGACCAGATGCGAGCCCCAGGGGAAAGCATTTCAATCAAAGAAACACAATGGTTACCAGAGGGGGGCTCATGTATAATTATTCTTCAGTAGTAAGAGCTTAACAACAACAACAACAACAACAACAACAACAACAACAACAACAACAACAACAACAACAATCACTTTACCCGAACGCTCAGTGTTCTCACCAGTGCCAGGGTTTTCATGCGACGCCAGCCAATACCCCCACTTTGTGGGGGGGCAGTGCAAGCTCTACCAAATATCCACACGACTCTTCGCCACCACCCACACCCAGCTTCCCGCCCTATGACGTTCGGACACTTCACTTCGTGGCCTGCGGACGACCGTGGCTACTACACTGGCGTGGAGTACACACCCACAGAAGTTGTTAAGCCTACGTTCGTACACCCACAGAAGTTGTTAAGCCTTGTTAACCCACATGCAAGAGCGTGCGAAAGTAGCTCGCGCGAGCTCATGTAACATAAATGTTGGAAAACCATTGGTTTTTTTAGGATTCGGACAGCGCGCGCGGGTGGAAATTTTGAAAAGTCGTGCAGGTGTTTTTCGAGGACCTACGGTGCGATTCGTGTGATTTTATGATGCGCGGTGCTAAAATTCTTAAGAACCCAATGGTTTTTGGAGATTTCGGCGTGCGCGCGCGAAGAAAAAACGAATGTGTCCCGCATGGTATTATTTGACAGGGATGATGGCCCTGGCAGGTGCGCAACCGTTGTCGCAGAAGTTCGAAAAAGTTGCTCGCAAAAGCCCGTTTGACAGAAATGTTTAAAAAGTGTTGGGTTTCCTACGAATCCGCAAGAGCGCGCGGGATGAGATTTTGACATTTTTTTGTTGAAAAACCATTGGTTTTTTGATGTTTTTATGTTAAAATCGCTCCGAACACTAAGCTTTTGGAAGGATTTCGTCTTGCGCGCGCGAATGTCCACTTTACCTTATTTTTTGCAAGGGATTCTTGAAATTTGATTATATTAGAACAAGAAATGTCATTTTATAGTGTTTTTTGCAAGGGAAAACGGATTACAACAAAACAACCGGATCTTGATGACATCGTATTACCTGAGGCTTCCTCACGAAAATGATGAAAATGTAGCTGCGGCCTAGGCGGCGCAGGGGGGCCGTGCACCAGAGGTCCCAACAATAATTATTCTTTAGAATTAATAATGTTCAACAACAACAACAACAACAACAACAACAACAACAGCAAGCAAGCAAGCAAGCAAGCAAACAAGCAAGCAAGCAAGCAAGCAAGCAAGCAAACAAACAAACAAACAAACAGACAGACAGCGTCCATGCAGACATGTCGACCTGGGACGTAGACGACGACGACCACGACGACGGCGGCGACGGCGGCGGCGACGGCGACGACGACGACGACGACGGCGACGGCGCTTCGGCCGGGCGGGCTCCCCCAGCAGGCTGTCGAGCTCGGGTATCGCCTGCACTGGGCGCGCCACGCACCTCCCGGAGCGGGGCCTCCAGACGCAGTCGCCGTGGCACCAGTACTCCTGCTCCTCCAGGGAAGAGCGGCTACACACATGAGTGGCCCCAGGCAAGAGTGACCTTCGGTAGATGCTCACTCTGGGGACCTTTATCGGGCCACTCGCTCCACTCGTGCGTCGAAGCTGCATCGAACTTCCGTCGAATCGAGCCGAACCTGAGCCGAACCTGTCGAGCTTGAGTCGATTTGAGTTGAACTGGAATCCAATTGGAGTCTAGAGTTGAACAGATCCATGAGGTGGGCCCCAGCAAGGTCCGCAGAACGAGCACCTAAGCTTTGGCGCGCGAGTTTCGGGGGAAGCGGGAGTGCCAAACCCGAGCGCGTCAAGCCGCTTCACGCCACTGCTGGGGTGATCCCTGTGGGCCCGCACCAATTGAGCGACGATCAAAAACGGGCCTTATGCAAGATGACGTGGCGACCTTACGCGGTGGCTTACGCAGGTCGCCAGCGCGGCACGCTGCATTGGAGGCGAGGGCGCTTAAGCGCGAGCTTACGCGGGCAGCTTACGCGCGAATGTCGGCGTCGACGGATTCCGGGCGTCGCTGAATTGTCGTCACTCTGGCGAAGAGTCACTCCCAGGGACGGCCGAAGGGAGCTGCCTGGGAGACGGAGCCCCAGCAGCCCCGTTGAGGGCTCCACGGCTTCCTGCCCCGTCCCTCGACCCGCGCTGGACCTTCCACACGACTTCGCCAGACTGGTCCAGGTGCCTCTGGATTTGCCTCGATTTTCCCTCGGTGGCAACTCATGGGAGCCTGCCATACCATCTCGTCGGCTCTTGCGAATCGACGCTAGTCGGCGCTAAGTCGACGCTAATCGACACTAAATCGACGGTCATGGACGCTAACCGACGCTAAATCGGCACAGTCTCATCGACTCCCAGACGCTCATCGACGATAATCGACGCTAAAGACGGAATGAAAAGGGCACACCAGGCTCCCATGACTTGCTACCGAGCCATTCGGCGGGGGGCTGGGCGAGACAGCGGCGGTGCTCCCTGGAGTCTCTTCCGTCCTCTGGGCCCAGCCTGGAGCCTCCTCGTCGCCACGGCGGGATCCGCCTCGAGAGGCGGGTCGGGACGGGCCCCGGGAGGGGTCCGGGCAGGGACCTTCCGCGGGCCTGGGGCTCCTGGGAGGAGGAGGAGGAGGAGGAGGAGGAGGTTTTTCCCGCGAGCACAGCGTGGGCGAGCACCTCGCGTCCACCTGCGACAGACCTGGTTAGACCTCCGCGCCGCCTGAGGCGGCGGAGGAAGACTGGGCCTCTACGCCGCTTCCAGCGGCGGAGGAAGAAGCTCTGGCAGCAATCCCAATCGACTCAAGAAACTCCAATTCCTGGGTCCTTGACAGCGCGACCACCTCTCCAGGCAGTCTTTCTTATAAGGATGCTTACCTGCCAGCAATCGATTACGCCGAGTCTTGGCGTTGTGATCCCTCGGGTCCTTAGGACATCCTGTAAGTAGACCACAAGCCCTGGCGCTCAAAAAGGCGCCGCACTTACGACAGAAAGTATAGTGGCCTATCCGAGACAGCTTGTGTCGCCTTGGCCCCTGCAAAGGAGCCCCGTCGACACGTGCTATTTCCTTCCACTTACCGTGGGAGGAGAAACCCTTCCTACAAAACTTACGAGACAACACCAGCTTGGCCTTATAGCTGTGGGCCCGTCTGGCGCAATTCACACACCTCCAAGACCCCCGATCCCACTCCAGGACGTGACGAGACTCAGGAGGAGGCAGCACCGCACGGCGCGGCCGAGGGCCAGGGGGCTGGGAGGCATTCTGAAGGCGGCCAGTAGTGTCATCAAACGTGCCTATCTTACAAGTCATGTCACCGACAAGCCCAAGAACAGCACTTACTTCTTTTGACCTAGACACCCACGTGTCACGGACATGCGGCGGGATGGCGTCAAGCTTGGCGCCCTCCTTTGCTTGAAGGTCGGCGCATTGATTCCCGAGGTAGTTGCAAAGCTCGAGTCCCTCGAGCTGCTGGGCATAAGCCTTTTTGGAATGCGCTTTGACCTTGACGACGACGAGGTCCCCCTCCCCCGAGAACGAGTCTTCAATCGCATTCCAAATCATGTGCCATAAATCGGCATGCGGTCGCCTGGCTTGGCGGCACCAGACTGGGCCTCGCCTGAAGCCCCGAACGACTGTGGAATTATCGATCCCTACCTGAAGAGGGGCCGTGCCGTGCCGAAGAACATTCAGAAAGCCATACAATTCTGCCCTAAGCACACTCTGTGCCTGCCTAACACCTGGAACCGCGCCATGCATCGCTTTGCGCACGTTACCCTGCTGATCTACAAAGCAAAAGCCCCAACCGAACGCTTTCAGCCCAGAGACCCCGACCCCCGACCCATCCGAGTAGGCCAGGCCCGAGAGAGGGGGATCGTCCCCGTACTCGGGGTCCAGGGTCTCAATGCTGGGCGTGACGTCCTGGAAGGGGCCCCCCAGTGGGTGAGGCGCGAGAGCCCTGGAGAAGAGGTGGGAGGAGGAGCCCGAGGAGGAGGCACGGTGGATTATATCTGGATAGGATTCACCTGCAGCCTGGCGCTGCTCCTGAAAAGCTGGACACTTACAGAATCTATGGTGCTGGTTACCGATGGCGTGTCCGCATTTTTGGCAGCTTCGATCTTCCGAGTGGCCGGCTCTCCAAACCTTATCTTGCGTCCAAAAATCGCCACACAGGAAAGCTAGCATTGCCGACTGCTTCTGGCCCTTCTTCTTTTTTGTCCTGACTGCCGCACGACAAGGCTCAAGGAAGGGCTTCCGAAACGGCATGCCACGCTGCGTGGCCCAGTCGGTGAGCCCTTGATCCTCCAAACGAAGATAGATATACTTCCGCAACGTGCTGGGCGCCGATCGGCGCATTTCAAACAGTTCACCAGCGTGAATGCGAATGGTATGCCAGCTAGGCCAGGACCAGCCAAGCCGCTGCAGCGTAAGATTACAGGCAGACGCAGGCCCTCGAACTTGGCTCCAGGGGCGATCTAGCGGTTGACTCCGTCTAGTCGCTTCGCGAGACATTTCCCTGCGCCAGGCCCTGGCCATATCTACCTGATGCACACCATTCCAGGCCTGCGAGGCCCACATGCAAATCGGCTTCTGCGAACCCTCGACCACAGGATCAACTTGATGCGTCCAGAGTCGGAGGACTCTGTCTCGACCAACCGCACTACCGCCAAGGCTGCCCGAGGCCATGACCCGCATTCTGTTCAGGGAAACAGGCGAGACTCCTAAACAGCTAGACCCGTAGGTTACGGACGGGATCACACCTCGGCGGACAACCCTGGCGAGGCGGGCCCCTTGCTTCGAGAGGGCTTTTAATTTAGACTTGCGCTGGCATGCATATTTAAATCGCTTCTGCATGTTCTTCCTTTTGCGAACCACGGCGCCTCCAGCGCTATCCACTCCCAGCTGGGAACTGGTGTTGGCGATGGCAAGACCCAAGTCCTTGGCCCAGGCAGCGCAGCGATTTCGAGCCGAGGCCGCGGCGACGAGGATGTACCCTTTACCGCGGGCACCACGGGAGACAGGGATGCGCCAGGTACCTTCAATCTCACGAATATAGAAGGTAACAGCAGCCTGCAGAACAGTGAGACATTGCCAGGCTCCTCGGACCTGGATACTAAGATCATCGACAAACAGCTTCATCTGGAGGCGAGCCCCCCAGGCTTGATGCATAGCATCGGTGACCTGCAGCACCACCATCTTGAGCGCCCTGGCGCCACCGATCGACCCAGCCACGACGGCCGAGAAAGTTTGAAGCGACTTCTTGGCTAGGACCCCTCGAAAAGCAACCAGCCTAGTGGACGTGTAGATACTGATAAGAAGCTTGGCTAGCTGCTGAGGGAAACCGCAAAGAGGGGCAACCACCCACAGAGCATTCATGGTAACATGTTCAAACGCACGCGACAGATCCAGCACTCCCGTCAGCGACACCTCCCCCTCACGCGCCCCCTCATCGTGCACCATCTGGTGCCACGCGGCCTCTTCGGAGCCCCCTCCAGGGCCCCCGAAGTCATATTTGCGCTTGGCAGAGCGCTCCCAGTCGTGAAAGAGGCCAGAGTGAGCTCGTTCTACCACACGCATGAGAGAGGGGAGGAGCCCAATCGGCCGAGTGCCTCCCGACTCCTTGGAAAGTAGGAAGTATATAATGTACCTTACCTGCGACGGGAACTGTGCCGTGCGAGAGATAAACATCACCAGCTGAATGAGGCAGTCTTTGCCTTCGTCCGAAAGCCAGGCCCACCAGCGTGGGTGCCAGTGGTCGGAGCCTATTCCCGTCCTGGCAGGAAAACTCAAACATAGTTTGGTAAACTGCTGGCGGTCCAGGTGAACCAACGGATGGGCGAAAAAGGCGGCCTCCCAGGGTCGGTCCGAGGGACCCGTGCTTTCCTGTCCATGGGAGCCCCAAACGTCGAACCATTCTTGCGCGGCCCTGTCGGCCGCTTCCTGAGGATCAGCAAGCTCGAGGTTGGAGACGGAGTAACCCGTGACGGGAGGAGGAGGGGTACGCCACTTGCTGATCCTATGAATGAAAGAAGAGCCTGCTGCCGACTCTTTCTTCAAACGTTCACGCCATTCTTTCGATCGTGCGGCTGCCTGCTGCCGTTCGATGGTCTGAGCGTTGCCAACTGCACGACGCCGGAGACCCATGATCTCAGGGGCCTGCTCCACGAGCGCTGGGCCCTCGAGACAAAAGGCGCGATATCGTTCAAACTGGGCGATTACGTGCTCAGCCTCCTCCCCCAAGTCGTGAACCAGCCGAACCCTCCCCCCTTCGATGCGACGCTCGAGCTTCGCTCGTCGCGCGCGTGCACGCAGCCAGGCGCCCTCCTGCTGGGCAGCCTGTGCAAGAAAAATAAAATCACTGGCTCGAGCGGCGACCCACCGCCAAGCTCGGGAGCCAGGTGTCCCCCTGGGGCGTGCGCGCGACTGAGGACCAGCGAGGGGGGGGCCCAGGTCCACCGAGGAGGATCACCCCGACCGAGGTAGGATTGAGGTTCTTCCACGCCCAGGAGATTCACCAGCTCTGTTGCAGCACTGCATGAAATCTGCTTCCAAAGCTGATCGAGTTGGGTGCAATTTAAATCGTCCTGATGATCGAAAGCTGGCCACTGTGCAGGTTGCGGAACTGGTCCGAACGGCCTCTCCATTGGGAAAGGTCTGGGCTTGGCAAGCCTCCAGCCGCCTTTTGCTCGCATCCTGGACTGCATGACTAAGCGAACAGGCGAGTGCGGTGAGGCGGCGGTGTCTAGCACTTCTACAGTGTCTCCGAAGGCATGCTGGATGCGGGCGTCGAGCACAAAGAAATCGATGATACTGCCACCGCCGACTCCTGAACATGTGGTGGTAGAAGGGAGACGCACAACTCCACCCACATCTTGGCACCAGCCCGTCTTGGGCAAGGACTCCCCCGTCTCGTCGAAGTCTGCTTGGAATACCCAAGGTATGTCATACTGCTTGATGACCGTTGCAATGGCCTCCAAAATCGACAAATTACGAATCGCCCAACCTTCCCGTGTCCAAAAGTATGCCGTGATAATCATGAGGCCACCCTTCTGGCCTGCAGAGCACCAGCCCACAGCCACGCGGCCAGACGACCCAGGCGGTGAGATATCAAACGTGTTCATGCCTTCAAGATGCGCGAGGCCAACATTTCTTGGAACGAGGAAGCCAACTCCACTAGACGGACGCCCGCCTGGGCCGCTGACGGCTGGGACCAATGCTGCCGTGCAATGCCTGTTGAAGCTGGCCGCCTCGATGTCCTTGGCAATGGGCGCACTCAGCTTATGCTCTTGAAGGAAAGTGATGTGCATGGGGCCAACGATCTTCCTTGTGGCGGCCTCGTCCAAAACATCGATGGCCTGCGCCCAAGAAGAACAATTGAAGCCTATGAACTCGAGCCCCACATTGCGCGTGCCGCCCTTGCCGCGGCGACGTGGGGGGCCAGTCTTCGGTGAACTTGACCATCGCGAGCAGAAGTGCGGCTCCTGCCCCGCCTGTGGCTCCTGCTGAGAGCCTGACCATGTAGAGAAAGATGTACTGGGTACTGCGGCAGGAGGAGACCCGCTGTAGAGCTCTGGCTCCTGCCACGTGCTGGACTCGTGCCATGAGCCCGACCATGTAGAGCATTGTGCACGGGTACCTGCAGCCGTGGAAGCCAGACTGCCGAACCCGCGCGGGCTAAAGAGGCACTGGCTTGGCCTCTGCCTCCGCCCTGCGAGCCCCGGCGCGCTGCAGGGCGTCCGCCAGCTCCTTGCCAGCTGCTTCACGACCAGCATCAGGGCCAGCATCAGCGCTGGCAGCGCCTGGCGTCGCGCCCTGGGATCCCTGCGGCCCCGCGGCGGGCTGGGCAGCCTGCTGGGCCTCCTGGGAGGCCTGGGCAGGCGCCTGCGGCGGGCCTCCCTCGGGGCTCTGGGCCGCTGGGGCCTCTGCAGCCGCCGCCTCCGCAGGAGGGTCCTCGCGCTTGGCCTGGGCAGGCGCCTGTGGCGGGCCTCCCTCAGGGCTCTGGGGCGCTGGCGCCTCTGCTGCCGCCGCAGCCGCAGGAGGGTCCTCGCGCCTGCGCTTCTTGAAGGTCTCGCGGAGCACCCTGATCTCCTCGAGCTGCTCGCGCTGGGACTTGAGGACGTCGGCCCCTGGCCCGAAGTGCGTACGGACCGCCTGCTGCACCGACGCCTCGAATGTCTGCTTGAGCTTGTTGAACTGCTCACGCTGCTCGGATGTGATGTCCAGCCCCTCCAGGTCGAAGAGGGGGCCGTCCTCGATGACAAAACTGGCTTCGCCTTCGCCCAGCAGGGCAGAGAGGTTGATGACCCCGCCGCCCTTGTTGGACCCCTCAGGCTGAGGATCCTTGGCTGGAGCCGACAACGCCTTCCTCTCCTGCGCCAGCTTGTCCTCCGCGACCACCAGGGCGTCCGCCGCCGCATCGGAGCGAGACTGGCACTCGTCGAGCCAGAGCTTGGCGTCGGCCAGCTGCTTGGCACGCTTCTCCAGCTCCCGACGAGCAGCCCTCTCCGCCGCAGCCGCCCGCTGGATGCCTTCCTCCAGGAGCGCGGGGCGCTCTGCAGGGGGCGGTGGGGCGAAGGCGCTCTCGAGCTGCTGGAGCGCCTGCCGCTGGGTTTCCGAGACGGCCTGCCCGCCAAGGGTCTGCACCACCTCGCCGATCGCGAGCGGCTCGGTCCTCTGCGCGGTCTCCTCGACGTCCTGGTACCAGTCGGCCTGACCTTTGCGGTTGTCCTGCCACCAGCCTCTGCTGCCGCTAGCCCAGACGCCACGGGGCTTGGGAGCAGGGGAGTACGATGGTCGCAGGGCCTGCCCACAGCTGTAGCACGACTGCTTGTTCTTGTAGGTCCACCGGTAGCCGCACTTCTTGCATCCCACGAAGTCCGTCGAGAAAGAAACCCTCGGAGCTGGGGACTTGCCGCCTCCACGCCTGCGGTCCGACATGGCGGCGGGCTGAACTGAGATGGAATCGTGATGAAAGCACTTGCTCCCCCAGGAGCTCACGTACACCACCCGAGGGCCTGGTCGGGGCTTGCCCCAGGGTGGTAAACAAGCTGTCCTGGCCAGCTGCCTTGACAAAATGGCAACTTGAGCCAAAATGGCTACGGGGAGGAGGAGGAGGAGGAGGAGGAGGAGGAGGAGGAGGAGGAGGAGGAGGGGAGGAGGAGGAGGAGGAGGGGGCCCAGCCAGCTGCTCCCTGCGATGCCGGCGTCGCATGCTTTGGTTTTTCGAACCCTGGCGACGTCGCGCCGACTCGGGCCGCGGGGCCCCCGCCGATCGACGCGGCTCAGAGAAAGGCGCAGAATCGTGGGGTCCGGAGGAGGAGGAGGAGGAGGAGGAGGAGGAGGAGGAGGAGGAGGAGGAGGAGGAGGAGGGAATAGGAGGAGTAGGAGGAGGAGGAGAGGGAGAGAGGGAAGGAGGAGAGGGAGGGGGAGGAGGAGGAGAGGGAGGAGGGGAGGGAGGAGGGAGGGAGGGGTTCTGGTGGTGATTTTCCACCATGCTGCCGTGTTGTTCGCGCCGTCGGGCCTCAGGGCTTCGACCTGCGCAGGAGCCACCTGTACACCACCACCACCACCACCGCCACGCCTGGCGTCTCAGGAGGCAGCTACCGGGAGGTCTTCGTCGGAAGGACCAGGGACGACTGAGCCCCCTTGCGGGGCTGCTAATTACGCCGGGTGAGGCCGCGGATGAAGCGGGATTTGAGCCGGATCGAGCGGGATCAAGCCGCATTCAGCGGTACTGAGCGGGATGAAGCCGCATCTCGGAGCAGGGCAAGGTCAGAACGTGACCTTCCAAAGGAATTGCATCCGAAGGCGCGCGGGTCCTTCGACCCCAAAGGCCCGGTGGCGCGGCGGCAGCCCCCCCCCCCCCGGGGGTGCCCGGGGGTGCCTGCGCGTCCCGTTGTCCCCCCCCCCCCTCGGGTGCCGGCGTCTCGTCCCGAGCCGCGCCTCGACGGCCTCCTGGGGCCCGGGCAGGCCCCCTCGGGCCCGAGAGCGGGTCAGAAGCCTCCGCCTCGATCTTCTCGAGGCGGTGGGCTCTACGAAGGCGTCCCCTCCGGGCCCCTGGAAGCCGAGAGTGGGTCAAAAGCCTCCGCCTCGATCTTCTCGAGGCGATGGGCTCTTCGAGGGCGTCCCCCGGAAACTGGCAGAGGGGGGAAACGGAGTGACATGGATGGAATCGGCGATGCATCGCCGACGGATCGGCGATGGGCCCCGGATGGGGAAGCCCCTGCTGGGGAAGAGAAGAAAAAGCCAAAGCTCTCCTCCCCCTCCCCTTGTTATCATGTTCATTATCGTTATGATCAGCATGAATAAAATTATTATCAGTCTTAGTGGTAGAAATACTGATAATATTAATATGTCCCAGAAGGTATTCTTAATAGTAGTAGTAATGTTCATATTATTCGTATGGTTCGCCTCATTATTATGTTTGTGTTTAGTCGTGTTGGTAGTGTTAACAGTACTAGTAGTACTGCTAGTAGTATTCTTAAGCGTATTATTAGCGTTAGACAGATTAGTGTTGTTCGTACGATTCATATCATTAGTGTGAGTCCTGACACTGTTATCAATATTGCTCTTGTTAGTAACCACAGTATGTTCAATCATTGTCCTGGCTATCATTATCATTCGCATGCGTACTCCTACTACTACCCGTATCATTACCCGTCTTCTTACCAAGTATTGGTATTGCTATCCGTACTAAGTCGAAACATACGCCTCTTATTATCAGTATTCTTCCTCTTCCTCATCCTCCTCCTCCTCATCCTCCTCCTCCTCCACCTACCTCCCGTTCCTCCTCCTCCTCCTCTCGTTCCTCCTCCTCCTCCTCCTCCTCCTCCTCCTCCTCCTCCTCCTCTTCCTCCTCCTCCTCCTCCTCCTCCTCTCCTCCTCCCCTCCTCCTCTCCTCCTCCTCCTCCTCCTCCTCCTCCTCCTCCTCCTCCCTCCTCCTCCTCCTCCTCCTCCTCCTCCCTCCTAAGACTGAAGCTGCTACTGCACCTGCGGGGGATGCGCTCACTGTTTTTAGATATACGAGCATCATGCGTATGGTTGTCCATTCGACGGAGCACAGCAAACTCATGGATGTTTACGCCGTTTAGCTCCGCCGATAAGCACGCAGCCTGCGTCCTCCTCCTTCTCCTCTTCCCCCTCTCCTCTTCAACCTCCCGTTCCTCCTCCCCTCCTCCTCCCCTCCTCCTCCTCCTCCCCTCCTCCTCCTCCTCCTCCGCCTCCTCCTCCTCCTCCTCCTCCTCATCCTCCTCCTCCTCCTCCTCCTCTCCTCCTCCTCCTCCTCCTCCTCCTCCTCCTCCTCCTCCTCCTCCTCCTCCTCCTCCTCCTCCTCCTCCTCCTCCCCTCCTCCTCCATCCTCCTCCTCCTCCGCCTCCTCGTCCTTTCCTCTCCAACTCCTCCTCCTCCTCCTCCTCTCCTCCTCCTCCTCCTCCTCCTCCTCCTCCTCCTCCTCCTCCTCCTTCCTCCTCTCCTCCTCCTCAGCCTCCTCCCTCCTCATCTTCCTCCTGTACCTCCTCCTCCTCCCCTCCTCCTCCTCCTCCTCCTCCCTCCTCCTCATCCTCCTCATCCTCCCTCCTCCTCCTCCCCTCTCCTCCTCCTCCTCCTCCTCCTCCTCCTCTTCCTCCTCCTCCTCCTCCTCCTCCTCCTCCTCCTCCTCCTCCTCCTCCTCTTCCTCCTCCTCCTCCTCCTCCTCCTCCTCCTCCTCCTCCTCCTCCTCCTCCTCCTCCTCCTCCTCTCCCCTCCCCCTCCTCCTCCTCCTCTTCATCCTCCTCCTCCTCCTTCTCCTCATCAATCACATCATCATCTTCATCATCATCATCATCATCTCAGCATCATCATCAGCATTCATCATCAGCATCATCATCATCATCTCATCATCATCATCATCATCATCATCATCATCATCCATCATCATCATCATCATCATCATCCATCGTCATCAGCATCATCATCATCATCATCATCATCATCATCATCATCATCATCATCATCATCATCATCATCATCCTCATCCTCATCCTCGTCCTCATCCTCATCCTCATCTTCCCCCTGTTCATCCTCCTCCTCCTCCGCCTCCTCCGCCTCCTTCTCCTCCTCCTCCTCCTCCTCCTCCTCCTCCTCCTCTTCCTCCTCCTCCTCCTCCTCCTCCTCCTCTTCCGCCTCCTCCTCATCATCCTCCTCCTCCTTCTCCTCCTCCTCCTCATCCTCCTCTTGGTCCCCCTTGTTATCGCCCTCCTCCTCCTCCGCCTCCTCCTCGAAAATCTTTGGGGCGGAGGCAACCTCGACAAGAGATCTCAAAGCCCAGCCTCAGAGATCGAGTCTCACAACGGACAAGGCGACCACCTGTGAGCGCACGCGCGCTCGCACGTGGGCGTGGGCGCACGCTCGCGGAGCGCCAAGAAAGAGAGAGAGCGTCAGCCTCACACGACCTCGGTAGGGAGAGCCTCTGTGCTCGGGCCCCACCCCCGCTCCGAGCAGGGCCCACCGCCCACGCCAGAAAAAGAAATAACAGCATTACCCTGGCGGCGTACCCAACCCTTGCGCAATGCGGGGCATTAGTGCATCAGGATTGCTACAAAGGGGGCGATGACGTAACATGGACGCATGTGATTTTGTGAGCAGCAATCGAAAGGCTCGCAAGCCCCCGATCAAGATCTAAGGGCTAACAAATCACCACCGTTGGCTGTGCCATGCGCCCGCTGCACCCAACGTATCCCACAGCAGCTCGTGAGAGCCCCCGCGGGATACATGTAGGCGCAACGTGATGGCCATCGCCCGGCAGATGGTCTGTTTCACGAGGCACCCCCGTTGGCTGAGCCATGCGCCCGTTGCGCCTAACGTATCCCGCAGCAGCTCTCCAGAGCCTCCCCAGGGACGGCGACGTCCCGCTCAGATCCCCGCGGTGCCTCACCCCGCAGGACCCACCAGCAGCCCTCGAAAATGACGACAGTGTCGCAGGCCGCAGCCCCCCAGGGACGGCGAGGTCCCGCTCAGATCTCCGCTGTGCCTCACTCCGCAGGACCCACCAGCAGCCCTCAAACTAGCGACAGTGTCCAGATCGCAGCCCCCCAGGGACCGCGAGGTCCCGCTCAGATCCCCGCGGTGCCTCGCTCCGCAGGACCCACCAGCATCCCTCGAAAGTGGCGACAATGTCGCAGATTGCAGCCCCCCAGGGACGGCGAGGTCCCGCTCAGATCCCCGCGGCACCTCACTCCGCAGGACCCACCAGCAGCCCTCGAAAGTGGCGACAATGTCGCAGATCGCAGCCCCACAGGGACGGCGAGGTCCCGCTCAGATCCCCGCGGTGCCTCACTCCGAGGGACCCACCAGCAGCCCTCGAAAGTGGCGACAATGTCGCAGATCGCAGCCCCCCAGGGACGGCGAAGTCCCGCTCAGATCCCCGCGGGGCCTCACTCCGCAGGACCCACCAGCAGCCCTCGAAAGTGGCGGCAGTGTCCAGATCGCAGCCCCCCAGGGACGGCGAGGTTCCGCTCAGATCCCCGCGGCGCCTCACTCCGCAGGACCCACCAGCAACCCTCGAAAGTGGCGACAATGTCGCAGATCGCAGCCCCCCAGGGACGGCGAGGTCCCGCTCAGATCCCCGCGGTGCCTCACTCCGCAGGACCCACCAGCGGCCCTCGAAAGTCGCGACTCGCGACAGTGTCGCAGATCGCAACCCCCCAGGGACGGCGAGGTCCCGCTCAGATCCTCGCGGTGCCTCACTCCGCAGGACCCACCAGCAGCCCTCGAAAGTGGCGACAGTGTCGCAGATCGCCGCCCCCCAGGGACGGCGAGGTCCCGCTCAGATCCCCGCAGTACCTCACTCCGCAGGACCCACCAGCAGCCCTCGAAAGTGGCGACAATGTCGCAGATCGCATCGAAATCCCTCTCAGATCCCCGCGGCGCCTCACTCCGCAGGACCCACCAGCAGCCCTTGAA